AAGAAGGCGCGACCCAAGTCCAAGCGGAGAACAACGCCAAAGGATGATAATGCCTACCATGGGGCTGGTCCTTCTAACAGAGGTTCACCGCGCACGACGCGCAGCAAGTCACGACGTGGGCGTGGTAGGTAGTTACTGATGCAAGGATATGACGAGTAGCACTTGATTGATAGTTTATGACTGTGTAAGACTGTGAACATTGGGTACTGGCACTTTGAACAATGAATGTATGTGAAAGATCATAATGTGAATCTACTTGTGAGTCTCAGGACAAAGACGAGATCTCATGTCTTGAATGAGATGAACCAAATTGTTTCACTTCAACCAACTTTAGATATTAAATTATAACTCGCTATGGATGGTATCTAGCAACTCAGTCGAGTACACAAAAGTAGTGGTCTAGTCTAGGTATCTTGCAGCAATCAACTACCAAGCTAGATGATAAGTCGACCCTCTAATAGGTTAAGTAACATGCCTACATAATGGTACATGGGGGTACTTGCGTACACATACGCGCTCACGGCAGTCAATGACCATGCTACGGCTAGTAAGAGGCGACTTTGTATCTTGGAGCGCGCATCTACCGACTCCCCAGAACAAAGTAAGCATGCGAGCAAGTCTTCTTGACGGTTGGGCGGAATCCATGCACGGGTTGTTGTATCTGTTTGCGCGCTGGCAACGCCGGAAGGAATGAACCTCCTCGCGGCTGTGGACTGCTCAGTCTTTGGACGAAGACTTGCGACGTTGCTTCTGGTCGACATTCGCATCCCTTCGAGCCTTGCGTTTGACACCCGCAGATGCGCTAGCCTTCCCATCCTTAGCCCAATACCACGACCAATCCCTGCAGAACGCGCTATGCATTCCATTCATTACACGCATAACGACGATCTTCCGGAGAATATTGCCAGGCGTGCGAGAGTGGTGGTGTATTCAAAATCGAAGTGATTGATGAGCAAGAAGAGCTGGATGGGCTTTGCCAACGATGTTGAACAGTGGGAGCTGAGGGAAAGGATGCTTGTGGACTGCCACCTGGCCGGTTAGGGGATGTTTGGTATAAATTGTCTTGATACGGTCATCGACAAGCAGAGAGTACCCGAAGGCGGCTGGCCACTGGAACTGTCCTGGACATCAGCTTTGCTCAGCAGCTAGAATTATGCACATACCGAGTCGAAGCGCTTCCTGAGTTTGAGTTTACACAAGCTATTTGCGGTGTAGAGGTCCAGCGAGGTCTGTAGCACTGGATCTGGAGGTTGGAAAGTACCGTTTGACATCATCAACAGGCGGGCGATGCTTGGTTGTACTGATCGTAATAAGCGATGTTACGAGCGGGATGCCGCAGCGCGACTAACATAACATCTTATTGATTAGTCTCTCTGAAATGCGAACAAATTCGCCAGGGAGTGTCCCCGCATAAAATTCGAAATCAGATTTCTGCACATTGCTGAGTTATTGAGATGAACGAGCGGACGATTGGACGTACCAGCGTATAGTGAGCATCTGAGTACACATCAGTCATGGATGGTTCAACGAATTCCGAGGACAAAGAGATGCAGTGTTGAGGATATAGCAGTGACATTATGTCGAGGTCATGGTGAAAGGGACAAAGGCAAACTCGGGACCGATCACCAAGCCTGGATCGGGTTATTGAAGTTGGTCCGTGTCGGCAATTGCGAGCTGCAGCCTGCCCCATCGTTCTTAGTCTTTCTGTGCCACCGCGTGATAACTAGTCCAATTTCGCACTTGTTTATGCAGCACAGCGTGACGTTATGGACGCATTTCGCAGGTATATGTTTGAAGTGTTCCTGTTGAGCTTTGTTCAGCGGCGAGCTTGTTCCCCAAGCTTTCAGGCTCACACCGATGCTGATTTCCATGATCCCTGGTGATTGACACCGATTGTAGACGGGCCAGCCACCTCATCACAGTGCATAATGCCATAGTCCACTGCCAGATACATGCCTGGATGACTTAATTCTTAAAGTTGAAACCATGTTTTTTTTTCTCGACAACGGCAAAACATCAAGTCCTCCATAAAGTAATACCGACGACGAGGATCGAACTCGCAACCTTCGCCTGCTGGTTATAGGAAAGCGACGCGCTACCATTGCGCTACGCCGGCATATACGTAACATCACATGTTTCCAACCTGTTCGTCGTGTATACAGCTCCTCTGGCAAAGAATTTGTAGCAAAATCATTAGCACCTCACAACGAGAAAACACTCGGTAGGTTCCTCTAGCAGAAGATCTTGGGTGTATGTAGATCATTTCAAAAGACAACACGTTAACTAGATACAGAAGTATAAATACCCTAACTAAGAAAGCCCGTAAATACTACAATGTTATCCCACCAAAGCATATATTCGAGCAGTGTCAGGGGATATCAGAAGGGCTATTCAACGAGGAGTATACACCGGCGGAAGCTCATCAGGAAGCTCTTCATCATCTCCCGCGCGGGACCCCGATGGATACTCTGTTTGCAATTGCGCACCTGGCAGGCGCACACCACTATCCGTATGCACCACCGGTGCGCGCGACGATGAACTAGAGGGTATCCCTGATTTGATGTCCGCGATTTGTGACATATCGGGAAATGAGTGCGCGGCAGTCGACATCCTGTTGGTGGTAGCGGCAAAGCCGGCGTGGCCAAGCGAACTCATTCCATCGTGAATGCTGCTCGAGCCAGTGGTCGGTCGACTGAGGAGAGGGCGTCGAGAATCCCCGGATATGGTGGACGACATGGACTGGTGCGACTGCATACTCATGCCCATGTATGATCCATGGTCGCCTGGCGTGGATGGTAGAGGACGTGATGCGCGCCCGGGCGTGGAGGGCGGTGTCGCAAACGGCCTGTTCGCTATGTGTGTCAAACATGATTAGGACGCTGTATTTTCAAGAGAGGAAGAACAAACGCGGAACGGAGAAGAGCGTAGGATCCTTGAATAGCATGGCGTCCTTGGGATCCGGTGGCCAAGCCTCTTCTGGTTCAACATTGACCGCACGAAACGTGGGTCTGCTGTTCCCACTCGTTGAGGAATGTGCTTGCGCTGTGCAAGAATATCAGCAGGATTGTTCTTATACATGTGATGAAGACGCACTTTCACTGCCATTTTCCCATGTCCCAAACTCACTCACTGGCACATCGGGACGCTTTCGTGAGGGCTGGTCAAACGACGGCGACCTTGGGCTGTAAGAAATAGAAGGGCCCGACGTCTTTGCGACTATCATAATCGTCAGTCGGTGTCAAAGGTCCAAGAAGAGCGCTGACAAGGATCGTCGTCCGGTGCCGGATAAACTAGCTCAATCGTGGCTGTAGGAGAGGTCGCCGTCTGTTGAGGGTGGCCGCTCCTGCGCCTCATATGTCCCCGCCCTGATTGCCGCGCCTCCACATCATTCGAGTTGTCCCAGGCCCCAGTGTCGATGCTCATTGTAGGTACATGTCTTGGCTTGCGTGATGCTCGCGTCGTTGGAGGTGCAGTGTATGCATCCACTCCGAAGGTATCATGGCTGAACTGGCTGGTCACATCCACGGGCATGTCATTTCGCTCATTCTTGTATCCAGGCGAGTACAAGCTGGTGTCGAACGCAGTCGCAGAAGTTGGTGTCTGGGGAAATATGCCTGGGTTTCCGACTAACCAAAAATTAGTTCAGAGTTGAAACCGAGGGATCAGGGTATGTATTAGGAAAGGTAGGATCACAGGCCACTCACAAGGTCTCGGCGACAAGGACGGAGCCGACTTGGTGAATTCTTTTGAGGGCGCTGTGCGCTGCTTTGGGCGGTACCTGAAAAAGTAGACACCGATGGCCAGGAGTACCAGCGCGCCGGCTATTGCGGCGCCTGCGATGATTCCAGTTGATATGCCGCCCTCCTTGGTCGCTGGTGCCGGGCCCTTTGACGAGTCGACTCGCACGATGAAGTAGTCGATTGCAATGGCAGTGTCCGACTTTGTAGTAAGCACAAGGGTGTGGTCACCATCATCCACTGTCCCAGTGTCGTGAAACTGCACATTAGCCTGTGCCACAGATATCCCAAATGATACGGCAGATTTGTTATCAAGTTGGACCTTGGCCTGCGCTGGTGTCGTTGAGGTGTTACTATTCAAGCGCCCATACACAATTGCGCGCGTCCCTGTGCAATAAGGGTTCGTGATAGAATCCCGCTCGAGGGTGGAAAGTTGCGTACCGGTGAAGGAGAAGCGCACACTGGAGTCCTTCTCGAGTACGTGTACTGTTTGATTAAAGTCCCCCGCCTGCATCGAGGTTTGAAGTTCGCCTTCCCATGAAGCCTGAGGACTGGTGTCGTCCACGAAGTATTTGGCGCCCGAGGGTCCAGCGCCCGAAGTGGGCTCGTAGAGAATGTAGTCCAGCCAGACGAACTCCTGGTCCGGGTCCGTACTTGAGCAGGATTGCACAGAATAAACGAGCGTGTGGTTGCCGTCCGGAATATTTGAAGATTCCCAAATGGTTTGGTGGTAAGAAGGGGCGGTCACATTAGGTGTCGAGTGTTCCGCAGGCGGGGCACTATCCAAGGAAATCGACAGCGCGCACGAGCCCCCAGGTGTATAGTCGCCAATGAGTTGTAGAGAAGTTCCTGCAAGGCTATGAGTTCCCCAATTGTTGCCCCAGCGCACACGACTGGCCTGAGAAGTTGAATGTAATGCTCGCAGAAGCGGAACTCGACGCGTGCAATGTCTGACCATAGTTGACAGAGCCTCCGCCTGACGTCCAGAGTCCCGAATATTGAAGTTGGGCGTCCGAGTCGTCCACTATAATATACCCATTCGACATGAAGGGGAATGAAGTGAAGGTCGTGCAAAAGAGTGGAAGTGGTAGGTCGCTAAGTGAGCGTCAAGAGCAAGCCGTGACGCGTGCGATCTGGAGTGCTTCCATATTTCAAAAAGGCTATTCAAAAAAACAGGGTACCCCGGAGATGAGTAGGGTCATCTCCGCATACGACGGCGCTTCAGGCCACTTCACTGAAGGCTTTGGTGGAGACTGGCTGCCCGCCGCGCTGATTTGAGCCCATGAGAAGATTTTCTTATGGGACTTGCGTGCGAAATACCCAGTGACACTTAGCTTCAAACTTCAAACAGATAGACAAAGGTCAAACAACTTCGTTGCGATCGCAATTCACGATCCAGTGGCAGTGCACTCAATTGGTCAACAACAGTAGACCTGCGAACAGAACTCATAGAGTATGTTGTCCACAGTTCTCCACTAGGTGCAGCTTTATTCAACAAGCTTGCACAAATGCGTACGAAAGAGACACCTTGACAAAATCTCGACAGAACTTGGGACAGGATCCTCCTGCCATGGCTCAGCGCTCAGAACTCATCTAGGTTCTTGGACACTGCAAGATTTCGACTTGGACACAACACCGACCTCAATATCTGAGTTCGACGTCTCCAGCATGCACAAGGTATAGTACGATAGAATCAACGCGATAAATAACGGACAGACATCAGCCGTAGAAGCTTCATCGAGGCAGCAGGCTTCCCGCGCCGCGCATAGCCATTTGTCCACCAAGGCGTAAAGTGGATGTCCCTCCTGGGAAATACGCAAGTACGTAGGCAATGAGAGACACAATCTGGTTTGCATGAGCACCAAGAATGAGAAGGGTTGAATGTCAACGCACCTGGACGATTCCAGCAATAAGAGACCCGAAGAACGAATGCAGCTGTAGCGATTTGAGTTGTGATTGGTGAAGGACAGTTGGATGCGAACCCCAAGAGAGAAGTAGAGGGTCAGAGCCAGGCTGCCGATGTACACGACAGTGAACGGCAGTCGCTCTTTCGATATAAGATGTTTGATGTGGTTTATTGGGCCAATGAGCACGGAAAATCTGACTTTGTATTAGGAACAGGCATTAGGAAAGGGGACGCGTCACACCCAAACATGACAAGCAAACTCCCTAGGCTGCGCACTCGTTAGGAATGATTCGACGTCTGGACAGTATCTGAGGCACACCTGAATGCCAGCGCAAACTTCGTTGGTCTGAGGGCAGTTAAGGACGCATACGATGGCGCTGAAATTCACCAAAACGCACCGGATCATCGTCAAGAACGCGATGAAAAAGCAAGCCGCCGCGCCAAGTAGACACGCGCCAAATCCTAATAATCTGCGCATTGTTAGAACTTGTACAGCCGTGCAAGCTAGCCACACACCTTTCCCAACTAGACAACGCAAACCATGCTTCCTCCTCGTTTGACCTCTCACTTGAGCGCAGTGGGACATAATCTCCAGCGACCGCATTGTAGAATCGGGAGAATGGGTTTGTCGGCGCTGACTGAGCCGCAGCAGAGTCGTCCGTTTGTCCGCGAGCCCACCGAAATTGCGAAAGATTGGTTCGGAAGTTCTGTTCTGTAGATGGAGCAGGCATGGATGAGAGAGGGAAGGTTGATGGGAGAGAGTGACGTCGACGATCGGCATTCTGAGTCGTGGCAGTGCACAATGGACTACCCAAAATGGCGGATATTCGTTTTGAGGCGCTATAAAGCTTACCACCACATCCCTGTCTGAAAGATGCTATCTTGAATGAGAGAGCTGTCTATAATTTCGCCATTATATTCGTTTTTGCAGCAAGAAGCACATAAATGTCACTGCGCCCCCACAAGAAAAACTACTCAGGTCGCCATAGGCAATCTTCAAAGCTCTTTAAGCCAAAGTAATGAATGTAGCTCGGACGTCATATAGTCTATCTCTGGCACAAGCGGCGATATCCAGTCTTCCAACATCCTTCGCTTTATACCGTCCGCACATATAACCATTTGCGATCCTAGCACTTGTTCACCATCACCTTCCGGGGCCAGTGCGACTACAATATCGCCCCCAAGTTGCGGCAAGAGAAGCCTGAGCTTTGCAGCGCGCTTGTATACCTGTGATGCCGAAGCAAACGCAAACAAGTCTTTTGGTACGGTGATAAAGGACGCAATGTGCGACATGATTTCGATGGGCAAAGGACCGGATGACTTGCTCTGTGGTGCACGGATACAAGTGAAGCCGTCTGCGAGCGCGTCGATGTGTTCGGCCAGGTACACAAGCGCTGTGATGCCGACCGTTTCGCGCTGTTGTGCGTAGACGTCGGGCATGAACACAAGCGGGAGTGTGTGTTGGGTCTTGCC